ACGCGATATTCTCCTTTCTGGTTCTAGATAGAAAACTGGACATCGGAATGGTGATGATGATGACGACTTGTCACGGCGGGGATTTTATAACCTTTGATCAGAAGTTGTGACGTTTTGTATCCATTACAGAGCCGCAATGTAACATTATTTCATAGTTATCGCACTTTTGCGTTCTTCCGCCACTCGATCCGGAGAGTCCACCGATCACATTCACACGTACGTATGTAAAGCCGGTGAATGCAGCTCTGGTCTCAGGATGGTTTCAACCCACATAAAAAAAATCACACCGGAACGTTTTGTGGCGGGTTCTACGCTCGGCGAACGCTCTACAAAACGCTCAAACATCTAAATCGCGTTGTATTCAATGGTCTGGTTCGCACCTCGGCGTATTTCCGCCCCCGTCCCTAACGCGCTACAAAACGGCCCACGCCTGGAAAGCTACATGTACTACTTTGGGCCGTTTTGTTGCGCGTTTTCCATTGGGATACAGCCAAGTAGCCTTCGGGAAACGCGCGACTTTTTTAATCGCGGTAAAAAACGCGCGACAGACGCGCATATGCAATACGCCTGGGTGTGAACGAGACCTTACTCCTCATAGCTCGAGCCGAGGTGTGACAATGAAACTGCGACACGTCGGCTCAGTAGATCAGGAGGTGAGGGAACACATACCGGCGCTCGCTCCCTGCTCGATCCTGTCCCTGCAGAGAGCGGCGACTGTCACAGGTCGGCTCAATAGATCGGGGAGTGAGAGAACACATACCGGCGCTCGCTCCCTGCTCGATCCTGTCCCTGCAGAGAGCGGCGACTGTCACAGGTCGGCTCAATAGATCGGGGAGTGAGAGAACACATACCGGCGCTCGCTCCCTGCTCGATCCTGTCCCTGCAGAGAGCGGCGACTGTCACAGGTCGGCTCAATAGATCGGGGAGTGAGAGAACACATACCGGCGCTCGCTCCCTGCTCGATCCTGTCCCTGCAGAGAGCGGCGACTGTCACAGGTCGGCTCAATAGATCGGGGAGTGAGAGAACACATACCGGCGCTCGCTCCCTGCTCGATCCTGTCCCTGCAGAGAGCGGCGACTGTCACAGGTCGGCTCAATAGATCGGGGAGTGAGAGAACACATACCGGCGCTCGCTCCCTGCTCGATCCTGTCCCTGCAGAGAGCGGCGACTGTCACAGGTCGGCTCAATAGATCGGGGAGTGAGAGAACACATACCGGCGCTCGCTCCCTGCTCGATCCTGTCCCTGCAGAGAGCGGCGACTGTCACAGGTCGGCTCAATAGATCGGGGAGTGAGAGAACACATACCGGCGCTCGCTCACTGCTCGATCCTGTCACTGCAGAGAGCGGTGACTGTCACAGGTCGTGTCACAGGTCGGCTCAATAGATCGGGGAGTGAGAGAACACATACCGGCGTTCGCTCACTGCTCGATCCTGTCCCTGCAGAGAGCGGTGACTGTCACAGGTCGGCTCAATAGATCGGGGAGTGAGAGAACACATACCGGCGTTCGCTCACTGCTCGATCCTGTCCCTGCAGAGAGCGGTGACTGTCACACGTCGGCTCAATAGATTGGGGAGTGAGAGAACACATACCATCCCTCAATTCTCGATCCTGTGACTGTCACTCATGTCTCCCTGCAGGAATCCCCCCCCCCCCACCCCTCTCCCCACCC